ACTATTTGGAAACAAAAACCCCACAAACATTCAAAATACCTTTCCTCCCCATTTTTCAGGCTGAGCTTCGCTCCCAGACTCGGTTACTTCAGGCACCTCTCCTCTGCCCATGTTATTGCTGCGGGTCATGCTCAGTCCCTCCAGTACAGCAGTGAGTGGCATAGGTGTTGGGGTCAGGGCACAGTGGTTTCTCTCTGGTGTTCTTAACTCTTTTCCTCTAGTCCTTCACTGATCCTCCCTGAGTGGCAGACCCTCTAAGGAAGTACCTGAGCTGCCATGGAGCAGCTCCCACTCCCCTGTCCTCATTATTCACCCATTCTCTCCTCTATTCCCTTGTCCTCTGCCTGTCCAGCATTTCTGCCCTTTCTTAAATGCACTTTCGCAGAGGTGCCACTATCTCATCTGAGTGGCAGTGGTGGGTCTGTTGCAGCCAACTGGAACCAGCAGTGTTCAGAGAACACAGAAGTACAAAAGATTGTTACATTGTTCTTAGATGTTTTCTCCAAGTCAGTGATATTTAAAATACATTTAATTTCAGTCTCATTTTGAATGTGAAGGAGCTCAGAGAAGTTAGGATAAAACCCACAGTGGCTGGTGTAGGCAGCAAAGAAGTTGATGTGCCCATACCACTGATCACCAAGGAGCTTTGTGAGCCCAGAGCTGTGCCAGTCTTTCTGTACAGCCTGATGAGAAGGGCATCACACCTTGCTGAGGTATGTGCCAGGGTCTGGACCAGGACTGGCATTCATATGGCTGAGCTGAAAGACAAGCAATGTGAACCAATGAGTGCATCACCTATGCTTGCTTAGCAAACGTATTTTGACTAAGGACATATCTAATGTTTGTGAACTAATACATGTGACATTCTGGTTTATGGTTTGGGTACAAAGACTCTCTTTCCTGTTGTTAAAATATTTTGATCTGGAGAAAATGATGTAGAAGACAAGCTATTTAATTAGTGAACGGGCAGAGACAATCTGTTCCAAGAATAGCTGGCAGCATGGGAGAGGGCACAGAGTTAAGAGTAGGTGAAGGGAAGAAAAGAAATATTAAAGAAATGTGTTTCCTTTGAAACGTGTTTTCTCTGCTTGGAAATGCAGAGCTTTGTGGAGCAATGAGGTTAGCATGTTCCATGCAGGTACATTATACTATCTCTAAAAATATTACATTGGTCATCTAGCCAAAAAGGTAAGCAGCTTGCCTGGAGTCTTGGGGATATTTGTCAGGAATTCAGAAAATAAAATGTTTAGAAGATGGAGAAACCATCTGAGCTCACTGTGAAGCAGCAAATGTTGCAGTTCTATTTTTGGTGGAGTAGTACTGTATACTGGGGGAGTTTCCATGAAATGAAAGGTGACATTACAGAATCTTGGAATAAGCATATTTGAAATATGCTGTTTGGGGAAATATATATATGTAAGACATATTTAGCATTGAGTCTAGTCTGATAAGTGACTGTACCATCTTTTGATCCCATCCTTAATGTCTCCTGCTCTCTTTTCAGAGCAATATATATTTCATCCCTGTGGTCTCAGTTTGGGAGCTTAAGAATGTTGTTTTTATTGTCAACCATCAGGTCAGAAAAATTGTGCCTGAGTTAATTCATCTGAAAATGGCAGGAGACATAAAATAAACTAGCACACCAGCTTTTATTTGTAGGACCAGAGAGAGAGAAAAGAAAGGAAAAAAAAAAAGGTCTGTTTTAAGTCCTGAAATTATTGGGTAAGGTAAAACCCACTAAGACCCCTGTATATGTGATAGAAAATAAGGAAAAATTAGGTCACAATTTTTAGTGGAAAAGATGTATAAGAACTAAATTCCACTGATAAGGATGTTTTCATGAGAATGTCTGTCCTCATCCCTCTTGGCACTAGAGCTGAAGGTTTTTAAAGTTAATATGGGCAAGATGATATCAGTGATGTTGACCATATAGCACTTAGACACCTTAAAAGTAAAATCATCACCTTCATTGGAAAATGGAAATGACACTGCATAGGTGGTTATATCACAGAAAAGTCACCGTTCTTAGATTCCTTCTTTAATGTTTTCCAGATTAGCTCAAGGTAGATTTAAATTGCTCTCATTAGCAGGCACTAATTTATTTATACTTGATGCATGTCTTACAAATTACCTGCTTCATCAATGTTGAGAGAACTTGTTGGTAAACAAACTTTTAAAAAAAACCATATAAAATGTCTCTTTTAAAAGTATTTTCCTTTTACTGAAACAGCTATGAGATTAACTAGTTTTCCTGGAGAAAGGCCTCTCTTACTATTTCTTTTTGACACCTATGGAAAATTCTGTATTTATACCACAAAATGGGCTCAAAGGATGTGGTATCCTGGCACAAGTTGCTCAGCTTTTTGCCAGCATTTGGCTCCAGACCGAAAATTCTGTTTAAAAGAGATGTTTATATGAACCTATTCAGACTTCTCAACCTTTAGTGTTATATAGAGATCTATCTATCTATCTATCTATCTATCTATCTATCTATCTATCTATCTATCTATCTATCTATCTATCTACCTATCTATCTTTATAATGACTTGGTGTAACACTTCAGTCGCTTATGTTTTTGTAATGTGTGATTATTACGATGTGCATTTATGCCTTAGAATTTTTTGATCTGTAGCAGTTAGTCTGTACTGTGAATGTCCTGTGAATGCATGTTTTCACTTGTATCCTGAATTTCATGTGTTATTGTCCATTAAGTAATTCTTCTTCTGAGTCCTGCTGTTGTTCTTTTTTCAGTCGCTCTAAAAATTCTGTGCCTGATTTACCATTGCATACTGACTTCATTTGTACCAGTGGAAGAGCAGAAAAAAAGACCCTCAGCTGCTCTGCTTTTGTGCAAGTGACAGAGGTGCACAGTAACTATGAGTCAGGCCTTTCTGCAGATTCTCTCATTAACATCGTTAGCATTTTTACTTAGGAAACCCAAAAACCATTGGCTGAATTTATCACTCATGAACAAGGGGATGTCCTGAACATTTGGTACTGATTTGTAGGCCATTGTTTCCAATCCTGTTTCTCTCATGAGGCAAGACAGTCCTGACACACATGGAAATGCATTTTAATGTTACTATATGGGGACTGGAGGAAGGATTGCTATGCATAACTTTGCTTTACTAGTAGTGCTTGGCAGCACCAAACTGCTTTTTGTCCAAGGATTCCCAAGAGGCATTGCCTCTTAACTTCCACTGTAGCAAGTCTGACATTTCATTTTCACATATCAGGAAGCTGAAGCATTTAGTAGAAGTAAAGAAGTCACTTTAGCCAAACTAGTAAATAAACAAGAATTTGGTTAAATCCTCATCCTCAATGGCAAAAAACAAGAGTGCCAGACTAAGATACCATGTAACATCCATGTGATTTATTGTTTTCCCTTCACCACACATAGTGTACATCTGAAATCCAACCATTGTGAATGTGTGTCCACATCTCTTAAAGAAGCTAAATCATCCTTTAGTATTTTAGAAAATTGCTCAAAATTACTCCAGAAAAGAGGAAATAAGAAGTTAAGTCAGGTTTTATATTCTTTTGTTGTTTTTCTCCTTGGTACTTCAGTGACGGTTTTTCCTATATCTTATATTTGATTATTCTTATTTATGACATTATATTGCTAATCCTATATAACTATTTCTGTTCAGCCAGACACAGAAAACAATGCACACACAAAAAAAGAAAAAAAAATTTAAGAGCAGGGATCATCTTAAACAGTTTCAGAACTACTAAAAGTATTTGTGAAACATGGCATAGTTATACTACTACCTGGTTCTAAATGCATCCCAGATGAGAGGAGTGCCTAATGAGGGTCTGACACTGGACCTCTAAAAGAAATGGTCACGTTTTCGTGGTAGCATAGTACTGCTCACAAGCTGGTTAGATATTAACCAGTTCAGGCAATATCCCTTCTGTATATTACAAAGATAACTTCTGAGATTTTATTTCCTGTCTAGGCAATGCACTAATCTGAAATGAGATCTCATTTCTGGGTTAAGGGGGATGCTTGGTTTGGAAATATGTGACTTACAGTGACCTCCACACTGCTTTTCCAGGATAAATAGAGAATTTACACTGCTACTGTAATTAATCCACAGTAAGATTTCTAGTAATTTCCAGGGGTTTTTTTTGTGAAACTTTATTGAATGTTTCACAGCAGAGAAAATCTGAAATAAATCTGCCAGAGTCAATTGTGTTAATCCAGGCTTGCATCAATATTAATGGAAGCAAAATCTAAGTTTATATTAAATACATTGAGAGTTTATATGATTAAGGAGTGTAAAATGTTGCAATTACACTTATATTTGTATTCAGGTTATAGCAGCCAGTAACACACGTACTCTTTGTTGAAGAGCTTTCCAGTGTGGATTTACATAGGTAATTTTATCTCAGGCTGTTTAGTATTTGACATAAATCCTTTATTTTCTGGAGTAAACCAATAATATAGCTTTCTATTTTCGAAAAGGAGATTTAACCTTCATATTTGCGAATGAAAGCTGGAAATCCTGAGTCTAGAAAACTCAAAGCATGAATTATGTCTACATAAAATCTCAACTTTTTAGCGGGGGAAAAAAGGGTTTATTTTAATTTTAATCTTGGTCTTGCTTGTTGAATGCTTGATGCTGGTGAGGCAATGTGAGTGTACACACATGTGTATGGAGATATGAATGTGCACTTTTCCTTACACATTGAACCTGAATTGGAGGGCATTGGAGCCTTCTGAAGCTCAGGAATGTTTTTCTAGGTGGTGTTTCTGGTAGTAACTGCCTAGTGCACAGAAAATGGGAATCAACATACTCTGGGGCTGGACATAGATGCTGACTATTACTTGGGCAGGACACTCACTAACAGGGAGGGAGGATTGTATTCCACCTAATAAGCTCACAAAAGGCAGAGGGACATGTACCAGGTGACACCAGCATGATCACTCTGCCGTTCACAAGGTATACAGCCCCAGAAATCCGCTCAATTTTTTTCCTGTTGTTTCCTTTTTCTAGAAAAAGCAAGTGAGTCAAACAAAGATCCGGGTAATCTCCACCATCCTCTTCATACTGGCAGGCTGCATTGTCTTTGTGACCATTCCTGCAGTTATCTTCAAGCACATCGAGGGATGGACAGCCTTGGAGTCCATCTACTTTGTGGTTGTTACTCTGACTACCATTGGCTTCGGTGACTTTGTAGCAGGTGAGGAGATTTGAGCTGAGGTGCTGTGTGCAAGGGCCTTGGCTCTTAGAATTTGTTTTCTGGTGTAGAGAGAAGCTTTTCACAATGCATTATATTCCAGTGGACTGATACTGGGTGTTTCTGTTGGGGTTACTGTGCAATAGGACATCAGGCTGATTTAACAGCCAGGTGCCTTGCCATCTGCAGATTGCAAGCCTTCAGCAGTGGAGATAACAGAAGCCTGGGAAGTCCTGATTATCCTTTATCGTGCAGTGAATTATGCACAAGTCAAATTACTTTCCCATTGAATTCAAGATTTGTATGAGTCCATTAGGGCTCAATCTGAGGCTGACTGCACAAGCAAGTAGCCCAAATGGTGAATGGAGGAAGCTTTTACAAAGTAGGGCTGAGCCATAGGTCTGCAGAAATCCCTGGCTGCATGCAGTGGTGGGCTGCTACTGCAGGAGCTGCAGCATTTCAAAAGCTGCATTTTGTTTTCTAACCTTGCCATTAATTTTGACATTGCAGTTGGCTTAATAAGGAAAACTTGTGTAGAAGAGAAGGACTAATGGGGTATGCATCTCAGTGCCTGGAGGATACTCTCCAAGATTAATGCAATACTAGCAGGAGCTATAAATATCCACCCTTATCAATTTCCAAAGAGGGAGTCAAGATAGGCTGAAGAGACGAGAGATTTTTTTTCACAGAATTGCTTCACTAACGAAAAGGTGGTTAAAATAAGTGGATTTTTTTCCCCATTAGTGCATGACCTCTACTCCTCATTCCTGTTTGAGGTCTTAATTAAAGGCATTAAGATGGCTATGTTACAAACAGTCATATTATGCTAGTGTTTTTGTACTTCCTATAAATCAATGAAACACGAATGGCTTAAAAAGTCAATGAAACTACAGAGATATGTAACATTTTCTTTGCTGAAGAGCTGCAGACAAGTCTTTTTGTAGAGAAGACCTAATTCTCCTTTTTTATGACATAGTGGTATAGAAGACATGAATTATTGAGGGGAAAAAAAGGCACTGAACAAAGAGAGACCCAGATATGAAAAGGAAATGTTTTACGAGCATTCAGTTACAGAAGTGATTGTATGAGTTTGGTCCATTTTAACCACTTAAATGTGTTGAGTAGCTCACTGATATTCTGTATTTCTGGTATCACGGTGTGAAATAAAAATAATTCATAATATTTTTCTTAATCATATCACACTTCAGTATTGTTTTCTTTAACAATTTAGTAGTAAAAAAGCTCAGAGTATCGAATTGTTCTATATGCAGTGTAATTAGGAGAATATAATCCACAGCTGGGTGGCTACTAACAAGCAGGATTTTTCAAAAATCAAATGAAAGACCCTGAATAAGAAAACTTCAGAGGTGATCTCATGATAAGAGTTTAAGGCAGGTGATCACCAGGAGATTTGGTTTTTATTGCTGGTTTTGAGAGAGATTTTCTGTTCCTTTTATTTTATGTCACTTTAATCTCTCAGTGTCTCTGTCCCTTCAATATCAAATAAAAAAAACTTTATCGTAATGGGTAAAACAGCATCAATGGAGCTATGCTCATTTATTCCACCTAGAACATGCCCCAGCTCTTGGCGGACTGGAAGGTTTTTGTACTACAGTTGGGGATACAATTGCGGATGGAGCCTGAAAAAACAGAATATCTGATAGGCTGAAAATAGTGGTCTCATACTTTCTCAGTCACCTGATTACTCTGTAAGATAGACCGAGACAATCTGTTTCCCAGCAAGCTTCCTCAGGGACATGTATGATCAGGAGAGACTTGTTGTACCATAGCAACAGCAGCCCCCACCTCCCATTGTTTCACACTCTTCAAGACTGGAAAAAAGGAGTGTGATTCACGCAGTCTATGGGGAGACATGAACATAAAACCCAATATTTGGGTCCCTGCCAATTCACAAACGTCCGACCTTCCATGGTGATGTTCAAACACCATATCTGCACTCATAACAGACTCTGGATAAAATGAAAGAGTCCTAGAAATGTCTCAGACTGCAAACAGCTCAGGGGGAACTGCTGAACTGTGTTGTCTGGTGATTTTAACAGCAGAAAATCACATCTCTCTGCAGTCATAGAGAGGTATAAGTAGGTGTATAGGTCTTGTCTATTCAAGGCTGGAGTCCAGGAAATACGTAATCCTCTGCCTGAGTCTCCTGGTAGACTTGCTCTTCAAGCAGAGGTTTGCAGAGGTACCAACAAGGTGTTGTTTGGTCACCTGCACTGAGGGATGTGGTGGTGCCCATGGGGCTCTGCAGACTCTTCACCTCTCAGTTCCGCTCAGCACTGTGCCTGCCTCTCACTCTCATCCTGCAGTGAACATAGCACTGTTATAGGACTGAGAGTCTCAACAGTGAGGTTGTGGTTGTTTTCTTTTGGAAAAGTTTATTTTATTCATTAGGAGGCAGCAGCCAGGCTGCTACTGCACTTTGGGCTCTTTGTATTCCATTAGATTTGCCAAATGTCTTGTGTTCTTGTTTTGCCAGCTTATCCTGAGATTTGCATGAAGATCATATAGTATATTTGTTGCTTGCTTGGATCCATATGTCCTCTCAAGTCACTGGCCAGGGAATGCACCCATCTAAATGTTACCCAGGCAGACTGTATAACCTTATTATCAGGGCTGATGCATGGTTGCCTTCCTGTCAGATATCCTGACTTGGAAAGGAAGACAAAGCTATGTTTCTTTCTTCTGCACATAGTCTCTCAATCCTGTAGCTAAAAGCAAGAAAGTCTGGAAACTATAACCTGAGGGGGTTGATCTGCAAAGTTTCTCAACTACCAGGCTGCAGGCAGTTCAGAATAAGCAAGACTAGCTGTATTGAACTTTTTCCTTGGACACGTGTTTGTGCTGTGCAAGTAGTATCAAAGCAGGAATTCCAGACTTGCTTCAGAGTGTGAGTGATCTAAAGAAAAATCTTTACCAGGTGCTCTGACAGGTCCCATAGCAGCAGAACAACAGGTAATTTTGAAGAGTTTTAAATTAAGAACAGACTGTGTTCCTCCCATCTGACAGAATTCTCATCTATTATTATCAGAACTATGGTGGTGTTGGCAAGAGTTATAAAATACTTTCAGACATTTCTCAGAATTGCAGATATTTTGTAGTAATTTTGGCATCTCATGGTTTCTAAGCCTAAGTGTGTGCTTATTTCAGGAGGAAATACAGACATCCATTACCGAGAGTGGTATAAACCCTTAGTGTGGTTCTGGATCCTTGTTGGCCTTGCCTACTTTGCTGCCGTTCTGAGTATGATTGGAGACTGGTTAAGAGTCCTGTCCAAGAAGACAAAAGAAGAGGTATGTTTAGTAATTTCCCAGTGGTTTGCCATTTTACAGGAGAGCTTTAAGTGCCTGATTCCTTCTTGTCTAAAGAAGGATGCTCCTCTGCATGACCAATGCTCAGCATTCCCCATGGTTTGCTTCACTGGTTGCCTTTGGTCCCCAGTTAGCTCTGATCCTCAGCTCCTTCACAAAGGAAGGAAAAAAAGCAACTGAAGCAACCTAGGTGGTTACACCTCTATGAGTACTACAAAATGCACAGAACACATCAGTAGGATTGCAGTTATGGAATGAGGGGCCAGCCTTCACTCTGAAACTAGCTATGAAATTGTGATTTAAATTTCGGTGTTTTCTGTGTAAAAACTGGATATTTTCCTGCCTTTTCATATGCCAGGGAATATTGTTCTGAATAAAGGTTTAGATTCAGGCTCCTTACTGCATACCATATTAAAAATTGAAGGAACTGAGTAGTCAGTGTGATTAAATTCACTCAGAACATGTCCTCTGTGATTCAAAGAGAGTACTGCTAATGCTTCACTCAAACAAGTGTGGAAAATAGAAGGCAATTGCTATGACTCTAGAGCTGAAGCCTATGGTGAAGAATGTTGATATAATTTTAAATTTTAAAGCAATCTCCTCCTGCATTATGCAAAGCTAACCTGGCAGGGTTAGCCAAAGAGAAGGCATAGACAAAGTTTGTCAGAAGGGTAATGTTGTTTATAATGTCTGAAGGCACCTGCACTACCTGAGGCCTGGTGCATCCTCTGTGCATCTCTATTAACAGAGAGGGCTTTGCAGAGAGTTTGGCTGTTGGGTTGATCAGCAGCAGGCACCTACAGCTGGGGATCTGATCTCTCATGGTGGATGTGAGATGTCTGCTGCCACAAAAAATGCAGTGATAAATGAACTGTACATCTGGCCTGAGGAACCTAAGGTGGGATGCAGAAACCGAGTTCTGGCTGCAGCAACCCAAGCAAGCCATTGACCTTGGTAGGCTCCTACAGACACTGTACCCCTGAATCTCCTTTAGCTGAACTTCAAAAAAGGCCTGTGTAGACTGAATTAGTCCTTGTTTTTTTCTCATTTCGGAAGGAATATTTATTCTACACAGCAGTCATTTAGGTGCTTTATTCTTAGCCATTATTCTGGTCTCAGGTGCAGGGGAGTAAAACAGAGCAAAGCAGTAAGATATTTAAGGCTATGCTCATGGTGCCCACACAGAATCTGTTGACAACTCCTCCAGATGGCTTGAGAGGGTGGTATTTGGACAGTTGTGCAATGCAAACCTCCATTTAAGACAGCTACATTTGTCCCTGAGAATGAACCCTAGACCGGATCAGTCAGAGGGACACTTGAAATTATCTAATGGGTATTTCCAACTTCTCTGTGACTCTGTGGCTCTGAAAAGAGCCTTCAGTGGGACTGAACAGCTCCATCCATAAGCAACACAGGAAAATGCATTACTGTACTGCTACACTGGTTGATGTGCTGTTCTGAAGCACAGTGGTTTAACACTGTGCTGGTGCAGCCTCACCTTGGATATTGTGTGCAGTTTAGGGCACCACAATAAAAAAATATATGAAGCTATTAGAGACTGGGAAAAGGAGAGCAACAAAGATAGTGAAGGACCTTGAGGGGAAGCCATACTAGAAGCAGCTGAGGTCACTTGGTTGGTTCAGCTTCGAGAAAAGGAGACTGAGGGGAGACGTCATCACTGTATACAACTTCCTCATGAGGGGAAGTGGAGGGGCAAGCACACTGACCTCTTCTCTCTGGCAACCAGTGACAGGACCCGAGGGAATGGCCTGAAGTTGAGTCAGGGTAGGTTTAAGTTAGATATTAGAAAATGGTTCTTCACCCAGAGGGTGTTTGGGCACTGGAACAGCTCCCCGCGGAAGTGGTCACAGCACCAAACCTGACAGAGTTCAAGGAGTGTTTGGACCATGCTCTCAGACACATGGTGTGATTCTAGGGGATGTCCTGTGCAGGGCCCAAGAGTTGGACTCAATAGTCTTTCTGGATCTCTTCCAATTCTGCATATTCTGTGATTCTGTGAACTATAAGTGATTAATTTTGCCCACTCCTAACCATCTACTGCTAACATTATGAGCCAGGAATTTTATTCTTAACCAAGGAGGGATTAGCATGAACACCTCCCATCACGTAACACAGCTATAAAATGCGTGGGGTGGCAAAATGTGACACAGACAGGCAAGTTATATGCCACATAAGCAATCAGCTAGTCACTAGTTGGTGTGTTTAGAATTTGCCCAGTGTAACCACTTTGCTAATGAAGTTTGGATCCAGATGGATGCAGTGGAGCTGGGACCACTCTCCAACTTTATGCCACAGAAGAAAGTGCTTGTGCTGCTGTTCTACTGGAAAGACTGTCGCTTTGTTTTCCTTTTTTTTTTTTTTTTTTAAATAAATTTATCTTTTTCTTCTTGTTGTAAAGGTTGGAGAAATAAAAGCCCACGCAGCGGAGTGGAAAGCGAACGTGACAGCTGAGTTCAGAGAGACACGGAGGCGGCTCAGCGTGGAGATCCATGACAAACTGCAACGCGCAGCGACCATCCGGAGCATGGAGCGCAGGCGCCTGGGCCTGGACCAGCGAGCACACTCCTTAGACATGCTCTCTCCAGAGAAACGCTCTGTCTTTGCTGCCTTGGAAACAGGTCGGGTCAAGGCCTCATCTCAGGAAAGCATCAACAACAGGCCTAACAACCTGCGCCTTAAAGGGCCGGATCAGCTCAACAAGCACGGGCAGGGAGCGTCCGAGGACAACATCATTAACAAGTTTGGGTCATCCGCTAAAATGACGAAAAGGAAAAACAAAGACCTCAAAAAGACCATCCCTGAGGATGTGCGTAAAATTTATGAGACCTTCAGAAACTATTCCTTGGATGAAGAAAAAAAGGAAGAGGAGACCAAGAAGATGTGTAATTCCGAGAACTCTTCTAGCACTGCAGTCCTGACCAACTGCATCCAGCAGCACTCAGACTTGGAAAATGGAGTGATTCCCAATGAAACCAAAGAAAGGGAACATGAAAACAAAGCATTACTTGAAGACAGAAATTAAATGTAAAAGATGCTTAACTTGAATTAACAATGTTAGTGTTTTTATATACATATATATATTGAGACACGTGCCTTATACAGACTCCTTGTTCAGTCTGAATCATATAGCATCGAAGAATATTTCACTGTGCCATAAAGACTCAAGCTTGCTCTGCCAAAACAAATCAGGAACACAGAACTGCAGAATGGCAACAGAAAGCTACGCACATGGAAATTTCAGCCTGTATAAGATTACCAGGGCAAGACACAAAGGAAGGGATTGAACCATGGCAATACCACCAGAGTGCTCCTACCATGGCATGATAGTAGACAAAGGGCAGCTATGTAAGAAGAGCCTTTGAAAGGGATGAAAAAAGTGTATCTTTGTAATGGAGTATGCATCCATAAAGCCTTCCCCTGGTGATTAAAAAGAGGAGAAATGATTGGAATGAACTAGAAACTTTCAGTAATGCTTAGTTTACATTTTGGCACGTGATCCAAGCTAGATTTTTTTGTCCTTTTTTTTTTTGAGTCAGATGCATTACCTTTCTAAACTCCAGAAGAATGTCTGTGGACACAGCTGCCAGCTGAGTGCTGGCTTGAAAAACCAACACAGATATATGTAAGGGTTGGATTGCTCTTTTCATTAAAAAAAAAAAAAAGAAAAAAGAAAAAAAAGAAAAAACTGTGGGTATATATCTTAAGCAGTGACACAAAAAAAAAAGAAAAAAGAAAAGAAACAAATGGATTTTATTTCTCATGTAGGAAATATTCAATGTAAAGTCACAGCAAGAAAGTGCATATGAAGAAAATGCAACATCTCGTGCTATGTTGTTTGAAAGAAGAGAAACATCAATTTAGTGATGTTTGGCTAGATGTATAAACCAGTTGGCCAACAACTGTTTTTCAAAGAATTTCTCATTCACACTTTCTGCCCTTCAATTTTAATGCTGTAAGACTATGAAGACACAAGGGAAGCTATAGCTTTTGCATGTCAGCAAACTGCTGTTCTTTGTAGCTGGATCTGAATTTTTAAAAATAGACATAAGAGCATATACGCAATTCAAATGAGGGCCAGGGCAACCATAGAATCTCAGGGCTCTCTGCCCCTTTTGCTGGGTTTGGGTTTAGACATAAGCTGCTGTCATTATCTCAGAAAAAAAAAAAAAAAAAAAGAAAAAAATTTAGGAAAAGAAGTTAAGTAAAATATGGTGGTAATCTTTTAAGTGCTTATAGCTTTAAGTGCCATTAATGCTGTCATATTTTGTAACTTTTTAAACAGGTATTTTGAATTATTTGATTTCCTTTCAGGTACTACCTTTGTTTAACATTTGCTATCTCTTTTCTTGATAAAAACTAAACGCAAGCTCTCTGCGTTCCTGGACTAAAGTGAAATGTAACTGAACTGTGGGCATTTTTTAAAAAGCTTTTGTGCTGTCTGGACATGTGGGTATAAAAAATACAATTGTCCCTAGACTTCACAGTAAATATTCCAAGAAAAGGCTGCAAAATTATTAATGGGATTTACAAGACACACTAAATTTTTTATAGCCTCAGCCTGTGGGCTACTGTGTGTGCCATTGCAGATAGAAGAAGATTTTGCATGCTGGAAATGAGATACACATGATTGTACCAGCAATGCTTCCCTGCGCTTTCACAAAATCCTAAATATTCCTGCAACTCTAACTGTAGGCTTATAGGTAAGGTAAGCATGGATGCTGATGGCAGAGGCACCCTGAGTCTTGCAAGCTAGTCAAACATACAGACACTCGTAGGTCATACAGACATGGACTTTTGGAATTGCATGCCCATGTCTACATACACAAAAATGCACGTGTCATTCTGTGGTAGTTTCTGAGATTTTATGCACAATAAGCCAACTCAAAACCAAACTGGTCAGCAGAATACATGATTGCCATGGCTATGAATGGAAGCATGGCAATGCAGATGCAAATTTCGATGATGCATATTTGCATATCTAATGGCTCTGTAGGATTTGCAGGAGTGAGCCAAATTCCACTAGTGCAGAGGAGGAAAGAAGTTCTTAGTATGTTCTGTCTGCTGGTTCACTTCTCTTGAAATGTCGTATCATCTAATTTCATTATCTGCCTGAAAATTAAGGATGAAAAAGCAATGTTAGAAAAATTTCAGGTCATTTGGGATTGCTCTAACTCAATAAGATCCAACAGAAATTGAATTCTGCTTACTTCACCAATGAATCTCTTAAGGTGCAGGGCTGTGCTCTGGCTTTAGTGGAGCCAGGGCAGTAAGGCAAGTCCCCAGGGAAGGTTTCATCTGACTCAAGAGTTGCTGTGGCTTCTGGAGACTTTTGTACCAGGCAGCCCTGTGTTCGGCTTCACAAACATGCAGATGGCAGCTTGTGGCTCTCCTCAGATCCCATCCTCCTCAAGCCACAGGCAGACACCAGCAAGATGCAGGTCTGTTCAAGCACTGGAGCACTTCAGCCCTCCTGTAACTTTTTGGGCAGTTTTTATGCCACATATGAAGTCTCATTCAGAAACACAGTACAGTGTGCTATAATTCTGTAGTGCAGGGATGGATGAAGCATACCTGGATGTACTAAGGTTTTATGTTCAGATCTGGGGCTTTACTGTGGCCTGATGGGAGGTTAGGAGTGAAAGCCACAATTTAGATTTGCATTTGAGTTCCAGAAAGGGTTCAGAAGTGCTCAGAAATGTGATTTGGGGCCTGGGAATTAAATAACTGCCCTGGCTTAGTCATAGCCAGGGCATTTCTGCTGATGAGGGTCAGGGAAAGTAAAGTCTGTCTTGTAGGATTGTCTGTGTGAGCAGGGAGTTGGGCAGCATGCAAGTCATGGAAAACAAGTCAAGATGGATAAAGAGACTGAATGACAAAGTTTGGTGGGCAAATTCAGAACTGTTTGCTCTTAACTAATAGAAGGACAATGACATCTTGGCATAGTTTTAATCTAAACTCTGAGTTCTCAGTCTGCCCTCTGTCCATATTCTAGATGATGGGGTGTGTGTCTCATTCTAGTTTCTGCCTGGCCACACTATGTAGGAGCCCCTGGCTGACATTTTATCAGCTGTTTCTTCAGCAGCTCCTGATTTGGGATATAATAGTTCAGGGACAAAAGGTGATGCTGAATAACCTCTCAGTGAGTTACTGAACAGAGCATTTGATGACTTTTTATATGAATGCAAATGCTCTTTCATTCCCCTCCATTTCTGGGTTTTGAAACTTGCTGAGACAACTGCCAGGCTGCTACCAGAGTAAGTATTTTCTTCTATATGATTGCCTACTAAATACCTCAATATACATAATTTTTATTATCATATGGGAAGTGCAAATGGTGTATTGCATAGGGGGCCAGACAGAAACATCAGCTGAAATGCCATTTTAATCAGCTAAATTGCTTTTCCCATTGTAAAGGACATCCCTTGGTTTTAGTTGTATGCAACAACTTGGGAGAGAATCTCAGCTCAAACATCAAGTGCTTTTATGGCTAAAATTCTCTTCCTTTGGCATTTAGTAATACCTATACAAAACTTGTTTTTTCTAGTGAGGCTGTTCCACCATTATAGAAAGTTTTAGCAAAAGTAGTCCAAAACTCCTTGCTCTAAATTAGACCCTTCAAAGCAGCCTGAAAATAAGAAGTCAAACAAAGGGTGGGTTACTGACTTTAACTCTCAGATCCTGCCCTGAGCACAACATGACCTGACATGGGAATTGGGACCTAAAAGAACAAAGGAAACATGGTTTTCTGTAGCTGCAGCCCTCACACATAAAGGATGACTCAGCTTTTGTTTTCCTGCAGCTTTCAGCTCTGCAGTGCCACTTTCCAGTCTTGTGCAAGAGAATTCTGGCATGTTGCTTTGGGGATCCTTCTGAACCATTAACCATCACTGAACTTATGCAGATATTGCATGGGTGGTTTTGAAAAGATTTGAAACTTCATCCATGTGCCAGTCAGTGACTTTAATAGGGAACATGATTTTTAATAAATCTTTTTAGAAATAATAGCAAATAAAATTAAAAAAAAACACCAGTGATTTATATTCATGAAAACTGAATTTGATTGTTGCAGTGAAATTATAAATCATCTGAGCTTCTGCTGTCTGGCTTTATGCTGTCTCTAGTACAAGTCTGCTTCCTCCAAAGCCATTAATGGACTATGCCAGAGACTCTGCAAAATTCTCTAGCCCATAATAAATGGCTGTTAAAAACCCTGTCCTTTAAAAACCTGCATTCTCCGGAAGAATTCATGTTTATGCTGTACATGGGCTGCTTGTTTTCTCAGCTTTCATTTTCTCAGGGGTTTATTGTTGATGTCAGGTTGAATGATATCTGTTACTCTTCCTTTTCCTATCATCCACTAGAAATCAATTACAGGCAAAGACCAAGCATTATGTTATATTTTGTATTAACCTAGAACAAGAAGTCTTCTACTAAACAGATACGAATTTGAAAGGTGTCTGGGAACTGCTTCAGTCATCCCTGTACATTTTCTTGTTCTGAACTATGTTTTGTCTATCGAAGGCCAAAATCTGCCCCCATCAAGTCTGTGCAGTAAAGTGGAGCTAGCTTGTTATTTGTAAGATTTTTTAGAGCAAAGACCTGCTGGTTTAGCTCATCTCTGCAGTGCCATTTATACTTACTGGAATGGCATTATGTCAATATTAATACAAATAAGCTCAGCTTCAGAAACAGTTCCCTAGGCATTTAAATATCAATGAAAACACAAGGCAAATCAACACAAATCTATAGAACTCAAAGGTTTGCAGATTAATATGTGATACTGGTTGCCTGAAATAGATCAGAAAAAAAATGTAGATCTGAAAATTCCTTTAGGTTGCTCACATTTTCCCAAGGTCCCCATCTCCTTTATTACCAGTAGCAGTTACTCTCCTTAATGTCATTACTGAACTGGACCGTATTTTTTTCCTCCTGCCAGTGCAACTGCAGTCCATAATGATGTTAGTGTTTGTTGACTCATCCTGTTGAAATCAAACTCTGAGGAAGCAGTTGCGAAAGCTGATTTAGGTGAGCTGGATCACACTGGATTGGGAGGTCACTCTAAAGGCAGGTCTTACCCACAACACTGGTGAGTTCTCAGGAACCAGTTGAAGAAAGGCCTCAAGCAAACGTGTGTGCACACCCACCCTTCACACTGCACACAGAAACAGTTCCTGCACATAGATTTACTGGTGATGCTTCCCCACACCATGAAGGTAGATGTGAACTTCTCACACTCCCTTATCTCTGGTTATGTCACATCTGAGCTAAGTCTTATCACTGGGAAATACCAGCGCTGCTGCTTTTAGGGGAAAGCAGTCATTCCTAGAGCATGTGGCCTTTTGAGGCAAATGGGATCTGCTTTCCCTGGCTAAACTTGAGAGCAAACCACAGGCAGGTGATATTTGGCATGTGAGAGAGAATACTTTTGTCAGCCAAATATAGTCAGTTCTTCTATCTTGTGAGAGCTGGGTGCTTAAACAG